CTTTTTGATACCAGGGATTGAACCCAGGGGCACTTTACAACTGAGCCACATCCCTAGCCCTTTTTGTTTTTTATTTTGAGACAGGGTCTCACTAGTTGCTTAAGGGCCTCACTAAATTGCTAAATCTGGCTTCAAACTTGTGATCCTCCTGCATCAGCCTCCCACATTGCTGGGATTACAGGCCTGTATCACCATACCCAGCTCTATTTTTCTATCTTACATCCTGGGACTTACACATGCTAGATAAGTGCTCTACCACTGAGCTATATTCCCAGCCTTTAATTTTATCTTGTTTTGTGACAGGGTCTTACTAAGTTGTTGAGGCTGGCTTTGAACTTGGGATCCTCCTGCCTCAGCCTCCTAAGTAGCTGGGATTACAGGTGTGTACATCACACCCTACAAGAACTAGTTTTTGTTTGTTTGTTTTTGTTTTTGATCAAGTAGATGTGCTTTTCTGTCCAAAATTTATCACTTATTGGCCCTTTGAGTTAAGGCAAGTCAATTGACTTCTGAGTCTGTAAATAGCATAACAGCATCCACTGGTTAGTTTGATATGGCCATTAACATAATATCATACATAAAATACATTGCTTGGCTTGGAGTAAGTGCTCACAACTTGGTGGCTTTTACCAATGATGTCATGAGGGAAAATGTGCTTTGGTTATAAGAAATACACTTCTACCTTCTTTTTTTTTTTTTTTTTTTTTTTTTTTTTAAGATAGAGTGAGAGAGGAGAGAGAGTGAGAGAGAGAGAGAATTTTTAATATTTATTTTTTAATTCTCGGCGGACACAACATCTTTGTTGGTATGTGGTGCTGAGGATCGAACCCGGGCCGCACGCATGCCAGGCGAGCGCGCTACCGCTGAGCCACATCCCCAGCCCCACTTCTACCTTCTGAAATCTAGTCCCCTCTCTGCCATTCTTTGTTCTTTTTAGTTGTCAATGACCTTTATTATTTTTATTTATTTATTTATTGTGGTGCTGGGGTTTATTATTTATTTATTTATGTGTGGTGCTGAGAATCGAACCCATTGCCTAACACATGCTAGACAAATAGTGTGTCACTGAGCTACAACCCCCGCCCTCTCTGCCAGTCTTGAAGCCATGCAGATGTTTGATGACTTCTCCCATTGCCCAGGATGCCTCTGTGTTGAGAAACAGTCCCCTTTTCATAATATGCCCTGTAACTGCCTTTCTTCCTCCTATGTTAGGGGTAGTATATTGATTTGAACACTGGCTTTGGTGATAAACCTGATTCAGTTGAAATTTTTGCTTCATACAAACCATGATCTTAGGCAGGTTGCCTAATCTTCCTAAGTCTCAATTTCTCTACCCCTAAGTGAGGGTAATTGTAATACCAATCTTGTTTTGTGTGTGTGTGTGTTGCAGGGCCTTGTACATACTAAGCAAGTGCTGTACTACTGAATCATATCCCCAGCCCCAGAAATACAGATCTTATGAGGTAGTTGTATTAAATGAGATAATTCTAAGTGGCCATACTCTGTGCTTTGTCTGTTTTCCACCCTTGTTTTGTTCTACTCATTCTTTTTACCTCAGTCATTCCCCAGATCTCTGAATATGGGCTAATCCCATTTAGCTAAGGACAGAGTTCAAGTGTGTTGGCAACAACCACAGTAAAAACGGGGATTCTGGATTCTGGCTCAGAACCTACCAGCATTCACATGATTTTGCTTTGGTTTCCTCATTAATGAGGAGCGAAATGATATATGTGATCTAAAATGTTCTATTTCTAAAATACTGTGTAGAGCTGGGAATGTGGCTCAAGCAGTAGCGTGCCCACCTGGCATGCATAGGGTGCTGGGTTCGATCCTCAGCACCATATAAAAATAAAATAAAGATGTTGTGTCCACTGAAAACTAAAAAATAAATAAATAAATAAAATACTGTGTATGTTAGAAATATTTTTTTATTGCAAGCAGTAAAATTGAAGTCTAAATGATGTAATTAATTTTTTTTCTCTGTTGCAAGCATCTCACTTAGAAGCTTCAGCCCTTTGCTATACCACATTATATATTGTTTCCCATTCTTGTCTCCTCTGTAGATCTGTGAAGTCCTGGAACGCTCTCATTCCCCACCTCTGAAGCTGACCCCTGTCCCAAACACCCACCCTAACCTCCAAGCCTATCTTCAAGGCAATACCCAGGTCTCTCGAAAGAAACTTCTGCCTCTGCTCCAGGAAGCCCTGTCAACATATTTTGACTCCACAAAGATACCTTCAGGGCAGCCTGAGACAGTGGGTGTGTCCAGGGAACAGGTGGACAAGGATTTGGACAGGGCAGGCCACGCTCTGATTTCTGGACTAAGTCAAGATGAGGAGGATCCTCCACTGCCCCCCACACCCATGAACAGCTTGGTGGATGAGTGCCCTCTGGATCAGGGGCTGCCTAAGCTCTCGGCTGAGGCAGTCTTTGAGAAGTGCAGTCAGATCTCACTGTCCCAGTCTACCACTGCCTCCCTGTCAAATAAGTAACTCTTGGGAAAGGAAGAGATAGTGGGAGAGGTTGCTTGACCCACCTCAAATGCATGTTTTGAGATGTTTGGAGATTTCAGCAGTCATGTGTTCATTGCTCCAGGATCTGGTGTACTGTTCTCATAATGGAAGGAGAAAGAAGGGAAAAAAAGTAGCTGATTCACTAATGGCTTTCTGCCTTTCCCTCAGTCTCTATCCAATAAGCTGTATTATTTAATTTTATTATTTAAATCTGCACTGGCTTTCCTCTTCATTTGTCAGGGCATAATGTGATATACCCACTGTCTTAGCAGAGAGGGATAAGAAGAATATAGACCCTAAAAGGACCCTCAGTAAGGATCTTGAACAGAACCAATATCTGTCATGGAACCAAATGTTCATTCTCTGCATGAATTCACTTATTCAGTGTTTATTGAAGACCTGTTTTAATCTAGATAGAAAAGAGTGTGCTTAAGAAATTTATTTCAGTTTTTAGCCTTCAGCAGATTTCAACTCTGTGACTCTTCTTTCTGCCCACCCATTAGGTGATGGTGTGTGTTTCAGAGATGACTAAATTTCTATTTTGAGCTTATTGTGACTGTTTTAGGTCTTAATTTGGGAACAAGTTGGAGGCCATTGTCATCTGTCCTGATTAGGTGGCCTGGCTCTTTTTCTTTAGATCCTTCTGTTCCAGAGCCACAGGAATCTTGAAAACTCACTGAAGATACCTACTTTTTTTTTTAAGCATTCAGGAGGCACCAAGGAAGGTCCTAAGACCTCATAGACACTTTTCCTAAAGATGGCAGAAGTGGAATGAGAACTCTGGGTCTCTCCTTTGCCTTAGTGGGTCTATGAATTTCTTGTCCATCTTGTTCTCTTTTTGTTCATATTAAAAGAAAGCATGGAGTTCTGATACTGCCATAAATTGTGAATCTTGGCAAGACACTGTACTTCTAGGTCTCATTTTCCCCATCTGTAAAACAGGGTTTAGACTAGATGTTCCCTGGTCTTCTGTAATGTGCTGCTTGCTACCATCCTTTCTCTCTCCTCTTCTCTGTATTTTTCTTTTGTTTTCCCTGGGAATGCTCAGGGTCACTGGATTGTATTTATGTGTGATTTTACCAAGGGAGTTAGCCTCATGTAGCATGTACAGGGATGTAATTCATACATATCATAGTGACCCAGCAAAAAGTTCCTGCCCACTGACTTGTTCTGCATGTGTAGAGTCTCCTTTTTATCTTCAGATCAACCTCCTTTTGCCTACCCCATGTAAGTTGCCAGCAATTCCACCAAACAGTGGGGTACATGATGGTTTTGGCATGACCTCTTCTAGTGAGACAGGGCACTCTGAGTTCAGTCTAAGGATATGAAGCCTATAGCCATTTGGAAGGTAAAAATAGTGGTGTGATCATTGAACCAAAGGAATTTATGTTTTGTAATTTAGGTACTTTATTTTGCATTTTGTTAAATATTAAAGACTTTTTTCCTCTTTGGGGTCTTATTGTCTCTTTTTACAACTATAACAAGGCTTTCCCCTTCAAATTTAATAATTGTTTTAGCTTCCTACAGATTCATCTCCTTTCTTCCTACTGTACTTGTTGTCTCCTCCTTTTTTTTTTTTTTTTTTAATTGTACTGGGGATTGAACCCAGGGCATTCCCCACTCAGCCCTTTTGAAATTTTTTTATTTTGAGACGGGGTCTCACTAAGCTGCCCAGGTTGACCTCAAATTTGGGACCCTCCTGCATTGGCTTTTTGAACAGTTGGGATTACAGTTTGCACCACTGCACCCAGATTCTGGTCTTCTTTAAGGAATAAGAGCAGCCAGCTCTGTCTCCCCTCATCTTCTTTTCTTCCCTTTGTTTCTTTTCCTAGAACCAGTCTTGTACTTCTTTCTTCCCAGTTTTGCTTATCCTTGAAAAATAGGCCCAAGGATATAGTCTTACAAACAAAATGGTTTTTGTACTGTTGCCCCCCACCCCACGCCATGCTTTTAAAGCAGCTTCCAGAAGGTTATAAAGAATCTGGAGGGGGCTGGGAATGTGGCTCAGGCGGTAGCGTGCTCGTCTGGCATGCGTGCGGCCCGGGTTCGATCCTCAGCACCACATACCAACAAAGATGTTGTGTCCGCCGAGAACTAAAAAAAAATTAAAWAAATAAATAAATAAATAAATAAGCAAATACATAAAGGTCTATCAACAACTAAAAAGTATATTTTTGAAATTTTTTAAAAAACAATCTGAAAAGAACAAATTGCCTTCTTAGACTCACCCAAAACTAGCCACCCTGGAAAACATACTCTCCTCCCCCAAACCCGCCCCCACACAGGAGGCAGGGCTTTTCTTTTGGGAAAACCGGCTCCTTGGGAGGTGAGGTGGCAAAACCTGTTTGAAGATGAGGTTACCTCCCTTCTACACCTCCTCCTCCTCAGAGGCCAGAGCAACAGCTGAAAAGGGTAAAGAAGTCTTAGGGGCTGGGACAACCAGCTCCTTCGCAACATTGTTTAAAACAGACAGGAATACCTGTGAAGATGGGAACTATACAGGAAGAAACAAGAAAGACATTAGATCTTAGGTAAGTAAGATCCTGGCTCACTTGATTGGAAATGGAATGAGAGACCTTCCTATCCAACCCTTACCCAGGTTTCAGGGGTTCCTCCAAAAGAGAATTGTGTAAGAACTTTCAGAAAAGGGATAGGGTAATCTCAAATAAGAAATGTAAATATGGTAAGGAACTGAGTTTTTTTATGGGTTTATTTTGGGGTTTTTTTGTTTTTATATAACAAGGGATTGATGGGGGCTGGGGTTGTGGCTCAGTGGTAAAGTGCTTGCCTAGCACATGCGAGGCACTGGGTTCCATCCTCAGCACCACATAAAAAATAAAATATTGTGTCCATCTTTTAAAAAAAATCTTAAAAGAACTCCACAAAATGCTGGGGACTGAACCCAGGGCCTGTGTATGCAAGGCAAGCACTCTACCAACTGAGCTATATCCCCAGTAGTCCCCCTTTAAAAAAAAAAAGCCAAACTTTTTAATTAGTTATTGATGGACCTTTACTTATTTATTTATTTGTATGTGGTGCTGAGAACCCAGTGTCTCATATATGCTAGGCAAGCGCTCTACCACTGAACCACAACCCCATCCCACCCCCAGCCCCTGTTTTTTATTTTCTATTTTCAGATAGTTTCTCCTTAAGTTGCTGAGGGTCTTGGTAAGTTGCCAAGACTGGCATTGAACCTGTGATTCTCTGCCTTAGTCTCTTGAGTAACTATTCTGGTTATAACTGGTTTTTTAAAAAAGGAAGATTCTGTATTTTGTGTTCTGATAGATCTTCCCATGTTCTTTGTCCCCCCCCCCCCTTTTTTTTGGGGTGGGGTTTTTTGGGGATTGAACTCGGAGGCACTTGACCACTGAGCCACATCCCCCAGCCCTAGTTAGTATTTTATTTAGAGACAGTCTCACTGAGTTGCTTAGTGCCTCACTAATTTGCTGAGGCTGGCTTTGAACTCACAATCCTCCATCTCCACCTCCTGAGCTGCTGGATTACAGGCATACACCACTCTGCCTGGCTTTCCTCTTTCTCTTTGTATTGGGCATTGAACCCAGAGGTGAACACATGCTAAGCAAACAGTCTACCACTAAGCTACAGTCCCAGTTCTTTTTTTTAGTTTTACTTTGAGACAGCATCTCACTAAGTTGCTCAGGCTGGCCTCAAACATGCAATAATCTTACCTCCACCTCTTCAGTAGCTAGCTGGGATCATAGGTGTATGACAGTGTAACTGGCCTGTTATTTACTTTCTAACTCCCACCCTCCAAAATAACCATCAGGGAAGCTGAGCCAGAACTGTCTTTAAGTCCGTGTTTTCCTTCCCAGTAAGTCTCTTCCTTCTTCCCTTCTTCCCAGTGCCTCTAATTAGGCTATGTTTTCCCCATCTACTCCCCTGCAAGGTAGAGAAAAGGCAGGCCTGACTAGGTGCCATCTTAACCAAATGCCTAGGGATAGCTGGGAGTGTCTCTGGGTTCAAGCCAATTGTAATGTGGGTCATCTCTCACCCTTGCATTATAGGTGGAGTCACTGCTTTACAGGTGAATAAGATTAGCTTTACATTCTCTCTTTCCTCTGCTCCTAAACCCAGCAGTRAGTAGGTGATCTTCTAGCAAGTGGAGAAGATGGGAGAAACGTCTATATAGGAGACAAGAAATCTGAGTTCTTTTTAGTATTGGGGATTGAACTCAGGGTTGCTCTCCCACTGAGCTACATCCCCAGTCCTTTATAATTTCCATTTTAAGGCAGGATCTCATTAATATGCTGAGGCTGGTTTAGCCTCAAACTTGTGATCTTCCTGCTTCAGCCTCCTGAATTGCTGGGATTATAGGTGTGTACCACCTCATCCAGAAAAAACTGAGTTCTTTTAAGGTCTACCCTTTATCTCACAAACTGTTTTTCCATTCCATTGTATATCCAGCTCCCTTAAGACACTCTCCAGGTTTCTTCATGATAATCTTTTCTTCTGGGGACCATCTTAGGGTTAGGGAAGACGCAGAAGCAACAGAACAAGCAGTCRCCCTGGAACTGAAGGAAGAATGGCAAGATGAAGAATTCCCTAGGTGAGGAAGTGGGAGGAAGGCTGGGTGAAAGGAAAGGTGGTCACAAATGGAGGGCAGGGAGGAAAGAGGTGGGAAAAAGGAACGTAGCTGATTAAAGAGAGCTGATGATACGTGGCTCGATGCTTTTAGCCTCGCTCTCTGTCCGCTTTTACTCTCCCTTCTAGATTGCTTCCTGAGGAGACTGGCCCTTCTGAAGATCCTGAGGACCCTCAAAGGGACTCACAGCCAGGTAGTTGATGTAGAAAACAGGCGTCAAGTTTTTTATTTTAGTTCAGTGATGGTATGTGCTACCACTATCCCTTCATAGTTTCATTCCCCTTCCCGAAACGTCCCCTGGGTCGCCTCCTTCTTCAGTACTCACCCCGTATCACTACTCGTACATAAGGAACTCCAGCCACCAGCAGCATTCCTCGACTCATTCCTTTCTCTGTTTTTTTTTTTTTTTGTTTTTTTGTTTGTTGTTGTTGTTTTTGTTTGTTTTCTCCTCCAAAACCAGGTACCCCCAATACTTTAGCCCTGTGTGGCCAGCGCCTCATGCGGAAACGACTTTCTGCCCCAGAATTGCAGCTGAATCTTACTGCTGGGCCTGGAGATAATGGAGCTTCTCCCACCTCCTCTGCATCTTCCTCTTCTGATGGCAGTTCAGACCTGGAAGTAGATGAATTAGAGACACCTTCAGACTCAGAGCAGCTGGACAGTGGACATGAATTTGAATGGGAAGGTGGGAAACAAATTTTTTTTAAATATTTTTTTAAGTTGTTGATAACACACAGTATCTTTCTTTATTTTTATGTGGTGCTGAGGATTGAACCCAGTGCCTCACACGTGCTGGCAAGAACTCTGCCACTGAGCTGCAGCCCCAGCCCCAGGCCATTTTATATATATATATTTTAAGTTGTAGATGGACAAGATAGCTTTATTTTTTTTTTTTTCTGTTTTTTTTTTTTTTTTTATTGGTTGTTCAACTTTATTTTTTTTTTTAATTTATTTTTATCTAGTGCTGAGGATAAACCCAGTGCCTCATACCTGCAAAGCAAGCACTCTACCACTGAGCTACAGCCCCAGACCTGTTGCATACAATTTTAATGTGGCTAGTGAACTTTAAAAAAAAAGAAGAAAGGACTTGAAGGAAAGAGGTGGGAAAAAGGAACATAGGTAATAAATCATGGTGGGGAGAGAGAGCTGATAAATTGATATGTGGCCCGAAGCTTTTAGCCTCGCTCTCTGCCTGCTTTTACTCTTCTAGCCCAGAGTAAATAAAATTTAAATAAATAAATAAATAAAGAGGATGAAGGGAAGAAGAAAAAGGAAGAAGGAAGAAGTAGCACATGGGTACTGTGGTGCACACCTGTAATTGCAGTGATTCAGGAGACGAGGCAGGAGGATAGCAAGTTTGAGGCCAGCCTCAACAATTTAGCAAGGCCCTGTTTCAAAATAAAAAGGACTGGGGCTATTGATCAGCGATAGAGGGCCCTTGGGTTCAATCCCCAGAAACGGGGAGGGAGGAGGAGTAGAAACTCAGGATGGATTTAATGGGACTGATGTTAGATAAAAGGAAAGGTAGCAAAATTGATTTCTTCAGATGGGAAAGGTAGAGTTTGTAGATTTGATGTGAAATAGTCAAGAGTAGAGGAGAGAGATGGTTCTATTGAGTGCCTGTTATATGCTACCATTGAGCTAGGAATGGGGTTCTAGATTACACTTAAAGGTTATGATCTGGCCAGGCGCAGTGGTGCACTGTAATCCCAGCAGCTTGGGAGGCTGAGGCAAAAGGATCATGAGTTCAAAGAAGCCTCAGCAAATTAGTGAGGCCTTAAGCAACTCAGTAAGTCCCTGACTCTAAATAAAATATAAAAAGGGCTGGGGACATGGCTCAGTGGTTAATTGCCCCTGAGTTCAATCCCCAGTACCAAAAATATGATCTACATTTGCACAGCATACAGTACAGAAAAAGAAGTACATCTGCCTTAAAGATGTTTAGAAAAGACTTCATGGAGGAGGTGATTCTAAGCTTGAGGTTAAGAGCTGAAACTGGGACTGGGGCTGTAGCTCAGTGGCAGAGTGCTTACCTAGCATGTGTGTGCACTGGGTTCGATCCTCAGCACTACATAAAAATAAACTAATGAAATAAAGGCATGCTCTCCATCTACAAATAATAATAATAATAATAAATATCAACTTCAGTTTATTATTATTATCAGGTATTTGGAGAAAGGGCATTCAAAGTGGAAGTAGCAGCTCAATCAATTGCATGGCAAGTTATGGAATTCAAAGTATGAAGCATGACTGTTTACAGATGAAAGGCTCTGAGGTGAGACAAAAATGTATACCCAAAGATAGTGCTGGGTAAGGCAGGTAAAGGCCCAATCATACATGTCCTTGTTTCCATGTTAAGGAGTTTAGATTTTATATTATAGACAATGTGGGGCATTGAAAGGTTTTAATTATAGTCAAATTTAATGACTTTTGGTACTGAGGATTGAACTCAGAGGCACTCAACCACTGAGGTAAAGTCCCAGACCTTTTTATTTTGAGACAGGGTCTCACTAAGTTGTCAAGGTTGGCCTTGTCATTCTCCTGCCTCAGGCTCCCCAGTAGCTGGGATTACAGGAATGTTTCACCCTACCTGGCTTTAATGATACTTTAAAGACTGGAAACGGGCTGGGGATGTGGCTCAAGCGGTAGCGAGCTCGCCTGGCATGCGTGCGGCCCGGGTTCGATCCTCAGCACACATACCAACAAAGATGTTGTGTTCGCCAAGAACTAAAAAAATAATAAATATTAAAAATTCTCTCTCTCTCTCTCTCTCTCCTCTCTCACTCTCTCTTTAAAAAAAATAAAATAAAATAAAGACTGGAAACAAACTAAAAATCCCTCAGTACAGTATAAATTCAATTGTGTTCCATCCATACAATGGAATGCTAAATATTATTCAGTTTCTTTTTTTTTTTTTTTCTTTGTTTTTTGTGGTGCTGGGGAAATCAGGGTCTCATGTATGCTATGTAAGTGCTATACTATCTATCTACACCTGCAATACCATTGCAAATATTTTTTTTTTAAGACTAGACAGTTCTTTGTTGTTGCTGATGGACAACAGCATGCTTTATTTTATTTAGTGTTTTTTTTTTTTAATGTGGTGCTGAAGATTGAACCCAGTGCTTCACACATGCTAGGCACTGAGACGGCTCTTTCTATTGCCATGGAAAGATCATACCAGATGATGGATGTGATACACTATAATTTTTTATTTTTTGAGAGCAAAGTAACAGGATTTATTAGAGTAATAGAAAGAAAACACAGTTCCCAAAAGGGGAAGAGTCCCAAGAGAAGGATACCCTGTAGTATGTTATAATTTGAATTAAAAAGTAGAAAGAAAGATTTCTCTAACAGTAGTTTAGAGGGTGGATTGAGGAAAATGAAGTAAACACCAGGAAAGCAGGTAGGAGGGTAGTACCAAGACCAGGTGAGAAGCCTAGTGGCCCAGGCCTATAATCCCAGCAGCTTGGGGAGGCTGAAGCAGGAGAATCACAAGTTCAAAGCCGGCAACTTAGCAAGGCCCTAAGCAAGTTAGAAAGAATCTGTCTCAAAATAAAAAATAAAAATAGCTGAAATTGTGACTTAATGGTTAAGCAACCCTGAATTCAACCTCCTGTACCAAAAAAAAAAAAAAAAAAAATGACAGAAGAAAATTATGACTGGGCACAGTGGCCCACGCCTGTAATCCCACTGGCTTAGGAGGCTGAGGCAGGAGAAATGTGAGTTCAAAGCCAGCCTCAGCAATGACAAGGCACTAAGCAACTCAGTGACACCTTGTCTCTAAATAAAATACAAAATAGGGCTGGGAATGTGGCTCAGTAATTGATTGYCCCTGAGTTCAATCCCTGGTACCAAAGAAAAGAAAATTATGGAAGTGGATAGAAGAGGAAGTGGGGTCCAGTTGGTTTGAGAGATGATAGATAAGAAAGAATCTCAGATGACATTCAATTTTCTTCCTAGATAGATGGAATCATTCCTGAACACAAGAGATGGGGCCAGTCGCAGTGGCACATGCCTGTAATCCCAGTGACTTGGGAGGCTGAGGCAGGAGGATCACATGTTTAAAGCTAGCCTCAGCAACTTAGGCCCTAAGCAACTTAGTGAGACCCTATCTTAAAATAAAAAAACAAAAAAGGGCTGGGGATGTGGCTCAGTGGTTAAGTGCTTGGCGTTCAGTCCCTGGTACTGCACCCCCCCAAAAAAAACAACAAAAAAAAACCCCAGGAAATATGGGAAAAAGAAAAAGAATAATTTTGAGTTGTGTTTTGAATCTGACTTGTTAATAATAGGGAAACACAAAAGGGAGATGTCTACTCTAGGCATTCAGGGATATGGATCAGAAGTTAGGAGGGAAGTTGGCATTAAAGAGGCAAATTTGAGAGTCATAATCTTGCTGATGGTAACTGAAGACATGGAATAGATGAGCTCACCTAGAAAGAAGCATGTAAAGAAATAGAGAATATGGTGGTGACTAAGGCAGGAAGGTAACAATTTGATGCCAGTCTCCACAATTTAGTGAGACCGTGTCTCAAAGAGGGCCAGGGATCTTGGGAGGCTGAGGCAGTAGGATTGCAAGTTCAAGGCTAGCCTCAATAACTGCAAGGTGCTAAGCAATTCAGTGAGACCCTGTCTCTAAATAAAATACAAAATAGGGCTGGGAATGTGGCTCAGTGGTTAAGTGCCCCTGGGTTCAATCCCCAGTACCTAAAAAAAAGGGTGGGGAGGCACAGATATGGCTTAATGGTATTAATGGTAGAGTACCCCTGGGTTCAATCCCAGTTCTGGGGAAGGTAGGGAAGAAAGAGAATATGGGAGGGGTATACAAACCTGATACTAGTAAGAGCCACAGACCTGCCATAGTGCAAGTTCACCCCAAGGCCATCTCTAGTGAATAGGTGAGGATAATGAAAAAGAGACCAGGAAGGGCTTGGGTTAACTACATACAGGGGCTAAAGAGTTAAGAGTCAAGACCAGGCTGAGGGATTCTGAAAGGAGAGGAAAAAAATTGAGGAATGAGAGGTTTGGAGTAGTAAATTCTACGGATCTAGGGGAGTTACAAGTTACTGAAGAGGGGAGATTCACCACATTGACCCTTCCTTACTCCTCTGTTTTAGATGAGCTGCCCCGGGCAGAGAGTCTGGGGGCCAGTGAAGCAGCAGAAAGACTGGGCCAGGGTTGCATGTGGGATGTGGCTGGAGAAGATGGTCATCGCTGGAGGGTGTTCCGAACAGGACAGTGGGAGCGACGAGTGGACATGACTATCATTGAGCCCTATAAGAAAGTCCTATCTCATGGAGGTAATGGCTAGAGGAAGTAGAGGGATAAAACTATAGCTTCTTGAAATACCTAAGCTGAAGACTTAGCTGTTGGTCTCAGCATCTTTCCTATAACTCCCAGAGATCCTCAGTGTCCCTCCATATAAAAGAGGTACTATCTCTCAGTACATATCTGTGGCCTGAATTTTCCCTAATCATTTCCAGGTTACCATGGTGATGGCCTCAATGCTGTCATCCTCTTTGCTTCCTGTTATCTACCCCAAAGCAGCATCCCCAACTACAATTATGTCATGGAACATTTGTTTAGGTAAGGCGGAAAGCCTGAGAGGGGGTACAGGGAGGACATTAGGAAGGGAAAAGTAAAAGAGCCGCATCTAAGATCAGTAGCTGATTGAAGACTTGATACTAATTAATGTTCTTACTCTCTGAAACACCCAGCACATACCTTCCTTACAATACTGTCTCCTCAGGTATATGGTGGGAACTCTGGAGCTGCTGGTAGCTGAAAATTATCTGCTTGTTCACTTGAGTGGAGGCACAAGCAGGGCCCAAGTTCCACCTCTGAGCTGGATACGCCAGTGTTACCGTACCCTGGACAGGCGGTGAGTCCTTAGGATGAGAGAGAAGGCTATAACTTTCCCTCTTCTTTTTTTTTTTTTTTTCCATCTTTCCATTCTTTCTTCTATCTAGTCCCTTCATCTTTTCTTTGTCCCTCTACACCCCTTCCCATGCATCTCCTGTCTTCAGCTTGCTCTCTTTTGGAGTCAGGAAACCATTTCAAGTCTCACCTTTAACCACTTACTAGCTATATAATTTTGAACAAGCCTTTAGCATTTCAGTTTCCTTCTCTGTAAAATGGCAATGATAATACCTTTGCCACTTGGCCTTTGTGAAAATCAGGTAAATCAATCTGGCATATTGCCTGGCACATAGAAGGTGCTCTTCCCTTTCTCCTGTTTTTGCCATTTACTTCATTTTCCACATGTCTATTTTCTTCTCTTCCTTCATCCCTAACTTGTATGTTTCTTTTCCTCCTGATGTTCTTTTTTTCTCCTTAGTTTTCACCATCTTCCCTTTGCTTATTTTTCTCTTTCTTTTTGCTCCTTTTCTTCTTTTCCTCCTTACTGGTCTTCCATTTGGAATTTTTAAAATAGGCTTGGTCAGGGTGGGATAGAGAAGTTTGCAGGAGGAACTTATGTGAGAGTATGGGCAGGAGGAAAATGGGTAGAGAAGACCAGGCTGAGAGATTCTGAAAGGAGAGTTTCCTAAAAATGAGGAGCTGGAGGGTTGAATACAATGGATGGAGCTGAGATTGCAGCCAAAGGAATAACGATTATACCCAATCACCAGAGAATATTAGAAATTAGCCAAGGAGGTTGCATTATAGAAGATGGTTGCACTACAGAAGATAGCTCCACCTGATCTTCAGGTTTGAAGGTGGAACTAGAAGAAATGGGATGATATTTTATTCTTCTTCAGGCTTCGGAAAAACCTGAGAGCCCTTGTGGTTGTCCATGCCACATGGTATGTGAAAGCATTTCTGGCACTGCTTCGGCCCTTCATCAGGTACTAGTTCTGGGACAAGGATTCTCCTACTCTCCATTTTCAAAATAAAAATTAAGAAAGATCTTGCCCTTTCTTGCCTTAACCACTCTACTTACCACATTTCCATTTGTAAGGGTCTCTAAGAACCATCCTCCCAGTACAAAACATATTTGATATATTCTCTCTTTTCAGTTCCAAGTTCACACGAAAGATACGCTTTTTGGACAGCCTGGGGGAGCTGGCCCAACTCATCTCCCTGGATCAAGTCCACATCCCTGAAGCTGTCAGACAGTGAGTCCTGCACTTAAAGATGAAGGTTTGGGTGGGATGTGTAAAGCCAATCCCATTTTCTTAACACCTTGTGGGAGATATAAAGGAACTAAAACACCCTGCTTTCGGGTGTTTCGATGTATCTGAGCAAACTGCACACACACAGAGAAATTAAGGACACTACTGCATTCAGCAAGAAAAAAGGAAAAAAATTATACATAAAAAATGCAGAAGCATCAATAAATAATTACAGCATAGAGGTTAGAGGAGACTCAGAGCAGCCCTAGGAATAAGGAAGGAATATGTCTACAGTAAGTATGATTATATCAAGTGGAAAAGAGGATGTTAGGGAGCAAAAGATGCTAATATTTGATTAAACATCCAGTCTTCTAGCTCTTCCAGGTCACTTGACTCCTTTTTCTAAATCAGCCTCTTGCTCCTTGACTGCTTCTCTGCCCGTCTCCTGTAGGCTGGACCGGGATCTCCATGGCTCAGTACTGGATAAAGGGCCTTAGAACCAAACAAAGATAGTGATCTGCCTATATCCCAACCCTGGAAACATCTGTCTTGTAAATCATCTCATCTTCGACTCCAATACCACTGGATCTTCACTGGGATGCCATCCTGAACATGACCCGGGTTTCGGTGGACTTTGAAGTTGGGAACCTGATCTGTTGGGTGGCTTTCAATTCATCTGTGGTTTGGAAGGCTGAGTCACTAGTGCATTGGAAGTGAAGAGCTCTTGTTTTTAATCTTTAGCTGTAGAATACTGGACAAATATCATCTCTTTGGGTCTCATTTTCCTCTCCTATAAGTGAAGGACTCCCTCCATTTCACCTTGGGTATTCTAGAGTCTTGGACAGGAGTTGGATGGATCAGAAGGGCTTAACTGACCACAGCCAGCCTGCCTGCTAGGAGCCAGGGTGCAGCTCACAAAATCTTTAGGAACGCCTCTATGCTCTTCTTTCCCTCTAAGTCATGTCTGCTGATAGTGAGTTGGGAAGCAGTACTTTCAAAACCTGTATTTTCGCCCTCCTTAGTGAATTCATACCTGTAGCGGTTAATAAACTGCCGTGCAAGATTTAAGTCTGCGCCGAGAAAGTGAACGACTGTTTTCCCAGCCCCTTACATCACAATCCCCCTTTTGGTTCTGGCACAGAGTTCTTGCTGCAGAGGTTCCCTAGGATTTTTAGCTCAGCCCCTGCCCTGGGGCTGCAGGAGGGGAGCCCCTGTGGGAGCGGACTAAGGGGGAGGGGTGTGGCGCGCGCCTCTACCTCTGAGCGCCCCGCCTTGGTTCAAACGACCCGACCCAGCGGGTTGGTGGAGAGAGGAAGAGGGAGAGAAGGTAGCATCCTGCCTCCCTCCCAGTTCCAAGCCACCCAGCCCCATGGTCCCCGCCGCCTGCGTGCTGTTCTGGGCCCTACTGCTGAGTCTGGGGCTCCAGGCGGCGGGGGCCCAGGACCAGACCCCGACCACTACCCCGACAGGGACAGGGACGAAGGGGGTCACCTTAAGCTTCGGGAGCCCAGCCCGCAGCCGGAACACTGGCGGCATCTCCCAGTCCAGTGTTGCCCATAAGACGAAAATAGTTCTGGAGGATGAGAATGACGCAGTGGCCACCGCAGATCGTCTAGCAGGCCCGGCAGCAGCCGAGCTCCTGGCCACGGTGACAGGCATGAGCAGGTCATCTGAAACCGGCTTTGGTGACGATGATGATGGGTCTTTGGAAGAGGGGGTTGTGATTGATGCCAGAAAGAATAACACCAGCATGGAGGCTCGCACTATAGATCCTATGACAATAGGTACCAGCACTGGGAGGGTAACAGCCAACAAACAAGAGAAGGAAATCAGGATGACCACAAGCCTGCCACCCACCGCCGGTTTGCGTTCTACTGGGGAACTGAGCACCGAGGCCTTGAGCCGGTGGTCAACAGCTGGGTCTACCCCCAGCGGGTGGCCGTCAACCTCGCGCACAGCTATGCCACCTCCTGAGGATCTAAGACTAGTGCTGATGCCCTGGGGCCCTTGGCACTGCCACTGCAAGTCGGGCACCATGAGCCGGACCCGGTCCGGGAAGCTGCAGGGCATTTCTGGGCGACTTCGAGTTGGAGCACTGAGACAAATCCGTACAGAACATCGGCCTTGCACCTACCAGAAATGTCCCTGCAATCGCCTTCGGGAAGAGTGCCCCCTGGACTCAGATCTTTGTTCTGACAACAGCTGCACCACTCAGACCACCACCACCACCACCACCACCACCACAGCCCCCATCCAAACCAGACGTCTAACCCTTCCACCTCCCCCACCTAGCCCAGGTCTCGTTTTTTGGAAAAAAGTCAGAATGGGCTTGGAGGATATTTGGAATAGCCTCTCTTCAGTGTTCACAGAGATGCAACCAGTAAGTGTTTTGTTGATAAGCCAGAATCTTTGTTGGTGGTTCTGAAAAGTCCTGATATCCCCAATCCTGTTGGTAAACCAGCCAGTGTGCTTGTAAGAACTGTTACTTAGACCTGTTTAGTTATTGATTCGTAACATGCACTTGTTATTCATATTATTGTTGACCCTTGATTCTACATGTTATTTCTTTTGTTTTTGAGGCAGGATCTCTGTATGTTGCCTAGGCTGGTCTCAAACTCCTGGGCTCAAGTGATCCTCCCACCTTAGCCTCCTTAGTAGCTGGGACTACAGGTGTACATCACCACTGTGCCTGGCTATCTTTTTTTTTTTTTTTTCTTGTACAACTGCTGATTGGTTGTTGGCAACATGTCTTATTGGCCATAAGATGATTATTGACCAACCTAGGTAAAGACTTCTTAATGCACAGTTAACAGACATGGAGGAATTTGTTTTTACCTAATTAATGCAGTTGAACAGTAACAACAGCTAAAATGTGAGGTCTCACTATGTGCACTTGACCTGAGTCTTCACAAACTTGAGCTATTGTCTCCACTTTACAAAGAAACAAATTTACTACTAGTATGTGGCAGAGCCACCATACTGAAACCAGATTTGACACCAGTGCCCATATTCTTAACTACTGTCATCCCAAAGAACTGTCCTTCTTGGATTCTTTTAAGCAACTTAAGAATTCTCAAGGAAAGACAGCCCTCCTTTTCTAAGAGTTACCAAAGGTTCTGATTGACCTGATAAAGTAGTCAAAGTTGCTACTGATGACAGAGAAGTAAAAAAGGCAATAAACAAAGGGTATCCTTGGTAATTTTTCTGGTTTCTGTTGTCTTTCTCCTTCTATATATGTATGTATGTATATGTACGTATATGTGTGTGTGTGTGTGTGTATATATATTTTCCTGTCCTAGAGATTGAAGCCAGGGGCACTTAACCATTGAGCCACATCTCATGAGACAGGGCCTTGCTAAAATGCTTAGGGSCTAAGTTGCTGAAGCTGACCTTGAACTTGTGACCCTCCTGCTTTAGTCTCCTGAGCTGCTGGGATTACAGGCATGCACCACCGTGCCCAGTTGTTCAATACTATTTTGAGAATACAAAAAGAAGCATCAAGAGGGACAGCAGTAATGAGGTTTTGTGGAAGGAGGAAAGCAACGAAAGGATAAAGAGATGTGGGGGCTGGGGTGCTGCTCAGTGATATGAGCATTTGCTTGGCATGTGTGTGGCCCTGGATTCAATCTCCAGCATTGCAAAAAAAAAAAAAAAGATGTGTGTCACCATGGTGAACCCCTGTGATCCCAGTTACTATGGAGGCTGAGGCAGGAGGATCACTAGTGTAAGGCCAGCCTGGGCAACACACACACAAAAAATAATAAATAATAAAGAAAGAATGTAGATGTGGTTGTAATTTCCCCTTTTCTCTATTTTTTTTTTCCTTACTCAGACACACAGAAACCGGAGGTAATGGCCACTTCATCCACAAGAGGAGGTGTCAGCATCTCAACCTCTCCCCTTTCAATCCCCAGCACCCACTAGATATTTTTAGTACAGAAAAACAAAACTGAAAAAAAAAATATTGTTTGGTCTTGTGTCTTTTTACAGAAGTACTTGAGGGAAGAGACCATAAATCTCTTCAATCCTAAAACTGAACTTCATTGCCTCTGGCTTGTTCTTCCTCTACACATGTCCCCCAGGATAAAATGTTGATACCTTATCTCCAATATTGTTTTTAAATAAGTACTTTGGAATAAAAAACTCAAGTGCCAAGGAAAGAAATAGGAAGAACAAGGAGTCCAGCCCTTGAAAGATGATGGTGGTTTCTCTTTGACTTCTCAATACTTGGCCCTCTCTTCAGAAAGGCAATGTTGGTACAAAATCCCATCTTAGCCACTCTAGGGGAGTTATCTACATCTGCCACATCTATCATTTAATCCAAGACACACCTGTAGTGATTACTCTGCAACTATTTTGCTTACATTTTTTATTTGAAAAATGTATTTTAAAAGTCTAACAATTTTTTAATATAAATTATGACTCTCCAACCCATTCCTGTCACTTTATTATTAAAGTGATGGTAGCATACATTTAGAGAAGGAAGGCAGCTCAAGGCAAGAGAGCACCAAAGAGAAGATGTGTCCAAAGAATATATTAGGATGTGTCTAGAGGTCAGGAGTCTGCCAGCCCCCTTCCCACTCTATCCTGTTAACCCTTTAGATCTCTAGACTTCACCCTCAGGCCACTGACTTTAGGGCAAAAAGGTGGGCTATTTTCAGAACAACTAACTTGCCTAGAACAGAGTAAACTGGGAATGTATCTCTATGACCAATCTTAGACCCTGAAAAAACTGTAGGAAGTACAATGAAATTTGAAAAAATTAAAACATCAATCACTGTAGGTGGGGCAAACTGTATGGATGGTGAAATCAGCAGAGTAGATACCAGTTTTTACAGGATCACAGAAATGATCCTATGCAAGCACAATCCACTGAGTATCCATGAATGCTGACCCCTCTACCATAAAATAAGCTTCCTATTACAGAGGTAATACGAGACTCCAGCCTTCTTGTCTTAGAGCAGGCAGGAGCTCAATAGTCTTGTTCGGCCTTCCTAATTACCCTGCAAGGAAAGGGTCAGAACAAAAAAACACCTGAGAAAACAAAGTGCCTAAAGACCCTGCTCCTACATTGCTTTCCCATCTAAAGCCGCCTTGAGCGGGTGGGGAGTGGGACCTGGTCTTCAGACAAAACTTCCTGAGTCTTGTGTCTGGTTTTAGGACTAGGGCACAGAAATAAAGCTTAGAACTTGGAAAACGATAACTAGGGTATATCTGCTGCTTTTATCTCCTCCCTCTTCAATCCCAACATACCCTGTTCCTGTTTCCATACTGCAGGAACCCCTCTTCCACAGAACAAGAATGGAAAGCATGATACATGTCCATCACAGACATAATCATATGCAAGCACAATCAATACACTGAGTGAAAAAAAATTATGTGCAGCTCTACTGAGCCTACTTTATAAGGGGTTGTAGTTCATTCAAGGCTCAGACTTAAGATAAACAACCAGATTAGGGAAGGATGGAAGATGGAAAACCATCCTGACTCCAGAACTGATTCTCAGCTGTAGGTAATTTTGCCACTAGTAGACATCTGGTAATTTCTGAAGACAATAAAATTTTGGGGTTGTCATAACTAGGGTAGGCCAGGAATGCTGCTAAATATAATGCACAGAACAGCTCTCCAAATAAATTACCTAGTTCCAAATGTCGACTGTGTCTTGGTTGAACCTTCTTCTAGAGCCTTTCCTGCTCCCATGCTGAGGAAAGACCCTGCACACAGACAACTGCTCTCAGCACTCTCCTATCCTTAATGGACAGGAAGTCCACCTTGAGATATAACTCCTAGTTTTGCTGCATTATGGCTTTCTCTCCAGCCCCTCTCTTCCTCCTCTTACCTGGGCTAGCAGGGAGGCTGGCAGAAGGCAGGCCAGATGCCCCAAGACTTAAATGGAATGCTACCTCCTAACCCTTGTTCAATAGGAAACAATAAGGTTCCTAACAGGGATGAAGTTAAGAGCAGAGGTAGGAGTAGCAAGATGGGGATAATTAAAATAACTCGTCTTAAATTAAATTTTTAATAATAAAAAAAAAAAAGGGAGGGGAATGGTGCTGGGAAGCTAGTAATGCTACAGAAACATAGGATTTAGAGCCCTAACTAGGGAAAGACCTTGGTATTGGCAGAGATTGAGGGACTATAGCTTAAGGTCTAAAATCTGAAGAGAAAGAATGGACTTGATCAGGCAGTGGTGACCACCCAGCCCCCGCTTGAAATCTACTTTAGTTAAGTCCAGGAGGAAACAGACGGGCATGAAGGTAGGGAGCTTCTCAGCAAAGCCAGCTTCAGCTTGCATAATCCCACCTACCTACCCCATCTAAGGAGTTCCGGGTCAGGAGTTTAAAAACAAGTGGCACCTAGAACGTCATTCAGGAGAAGGGAACTCATTCCAGATTCCCAGAGAACTCCTAGCTCAGATCTAGAGTACCAGGGCTTCAGCTGAGCTCCTCTGGCCAAACAGTAGTCATGTGGTCAGTCCTGCTGCCTTGACCCCATCTCCAGGAGGGGCTATGGCCAGAGGGAGTAGAGGGAGTCCAGCCCCCATGCCTTTTGAGGCACTATTAGGCAGATAGGCAAGAGGGCCCTTGTGTTCTAGGAAGGATCTGGTGGGGACAGCATTTCTTCTGGGCTGGACACAAAGCAGGGGCTTCAAGACGGCAGAACCTAAATTTAAAAACAAACAAAAGTGTTTTAAAAGAAGGTTTGCCTCAACCAAGTCCTTAGGGAGAAGGCATCACATAGTGTGGTCTTCGAACTGCCTCCCTTCATGTTGGCTTCCAATGAAGATGACGTACAACGGCTCTTACTAATAAGATCCCCTCACAGAAAACTCGCCCATATACATGTGAGGTTCAAATAACTGGTAAAAATATTCCATCATCCCTAGACCAATTTCCCTTATCATGAGAGCAGAAATGCATTATAGACATTATTTAGGATAGTGGGGCTCTTTCCTCTATTTCTGTCTACACAACCCCCTTTCTGCCTTTCTGGAATGATCCTCTATTCTTGAATCTTCCATTCTAATTCTTCCTCCCTCTTCCCCCCAGTTCCCATTCTTGTATCAGGATCAGGTTCTGAAGCAGGGTATCAGGATGTGCAGGCATGTGCCTGAGGTGTTGCATTTCTCTAATCACTCACCATTCCTATGGGGCTATAAGCCCCTAGAATTGCTCCACGGCCTGTCTCGGTTTCCCTTGGATCTCATCTGCTCCTGAACTGCACCTGTCTGTTAAAAACACATGTGAACTGGGTGCAGTGGAACACATCTGTAATCCCAGCTATTCTGGAGGCTGAGGCACGGGGATCGCCAAGTTTGAGGCCAGCTCGGGCAACTTAGCAAGGCCCTAAGCAACTTAGGGAGACCCTGTCTCAAAATAAAAGAGCTGGGGACACAGCTCAGTGGTAGAGCAACCCTGGGTTTGATCCCCAGCACAGCCAAAAAAACAAAAAAAGGTGCGAGTGAGACACCCTTCTAAGTGTTCATACCCCACAGTAAGAGGTCTATCCAGTGCTGTTATCTCCTTGACAACATCAATCTGAAAAGGTGAAAACTAACTACCATTCCGAGAAGGGAAGTCTCAATGCCCTCCTTTTATATTGGCCTTCATGAAGATGAAGTAAAATGGCTCTCTTACTAATAAGTTCTCACAAAAAAATTCTCCCGGGCTGGGGATGTGGCTTAAGTGGTAGCGCGCTCGCCTGGCGTGCGTGCGGCCCGGGTTCGATCCTCAGCACCACATA